TGCAGGTGGAGTGGGTATCAGAGACCCTTGCTCAGGAGGGGAATGTTCCAAGGATTCCTCCAGAGATACTGATGATCCTAAAATTTCTTTTTCAAATACAGATGGTGCTATAGCTATAGTAGTTTGGTTAGAGAATGAAATTTCCAGAGATCCTGGGGTAGATTGAAAAGTTTCTGAACTTCCTGGGGAAGAGTCTGTTACATTACAAGCCTCTTTGGTAGATGACGATGGTTCTGATGTCTCTGTCATAAGGGAAGCCTTTTGTAGAATCTGCACTGAAGGAAGCAGATGTCTTAGAGAATCTTGGGCAGGTGGTGAAGTTTCTATAATCCGATGAGTAGAAGACAGCATTCCTACAGTGCTATGGTTAGATGGTGATATTTCTAGAGGCCCCGGTGAATATTCAGATAGTCCAAGATCTCCTAGATTAGGTAATGATAATGACAATGACTGCCCTGAAATCCCTTGGTCCAAACAAGTGCCTGAAGCCTCTTCAGGTGAAAAGGAAGTATCTGGAGACCCTTGAGCAGAGGGTGAATGTCTCAGAGATTCTTGTGCTGATATGGACAGTCCTAGAGTCCCTTGTGTAGACAATGCATTTCCTGAACAGATTTGCTGCAGGGGTGAATCTTGTAAAGTCACTTTTTCACATGAATATATTTCTTGTAAACCTTTTTCTGTTAGTGAAGTTCTATCAGGTCCCATTTGAGATGAGGCAGTTTTCATAGACTGTTGTTCAGATTGAGAAAATTTCAGAGATTTGTGGGAAACTGTTGGTGATCTCAGTATCCCTTGGTCAGTTATAGAAGGGCCTGCTGTGCCTTTGGCAAATGTTGAAAAACTCAGTGTCTTTATAATAGATGTCAAAGTTTCTAGACACCTTGAGAGAGATTTCAAAGTACTATAAATCTCTTCAGAAGTTGGCAAAGGTTCTTTTGTCTGTGAAGCAAATTGGGAAGTACCCAGAGGCTGCTCCAAAGAAGTCTGAATTTCTAGAAAGCTTTGAGCTGATGGTAAACTTACTATAGACCCTTGGGCAGATGTTTGAGTTTTCCTAGCCCCTTTTGTAGATAGTGATAGTGATGTTCCTATAGTATCTTTTGAAGGTCGAGAAAGTCCAAAATCTTGTGGAGTAGATGATGAATTCTCTAAAACCTCTTGGGCTAAAGAAGTGCCTGGATCCTCTTCAGAAGATGTGAACATTCCTGGAGACTTTTGCTCAGATTTTGAATGTCCTACAAACTTTTGTGCTGATATGGAAGTTCCAAGAGCCCTTTGCACAGATAATGAATCTCCTAAATACTCTTGCTGTGGTGGGGAAGAGTCTAGAAACACTTGGGAAGATATAGACAATTTGGGGCACAATTGGGCTGATAATAAAGATTGGGTGGTACCTAGTACAGATGGAGTAGGTCTCAGTGAGCCATTAGAAGGTGGAGAAAAATGAACCAATTTTTGGAGAGATGATGGTGATTCCTGAATCTGTTGGTCAGAATCAGAAGGGAACAGAACACTATGGGCAGATATTGAATCGCGTAGAGTTTCTGGGAGAGGTGGCAACGTTTCTAGAGTCATGGATGAAGATTCTGAACATTTCAAAACCATTTGGGGAGATGTCAAAGTTTCTGATGAATTAGGAGTACATTGGGAATGTCCCAGATACCCTGAGGAATGAGGTTGAAGTTGCTGAGCACCATGCACATCTAATGAACCTTCTCTATCTCTCTGGAGAGAAGATGATGTTTCTGGAGTAACTTGGGAAGATGACAATTTTTTCAATATTCCCTGGGCAGAGAGATAATGTGTTTCTCCTGGGACAGATGGGGATTGTGCTACAGACCCATGATGATAAGAAGAGTCCTGTGCTTTGTGGGAAGATGTGGATTTCATTGACCTTTCAGAAGATGACACATTTTCAACTCTCCCTTTTGTAGATGATAATATTTTCAAAGCCCCTTGGGAAGATGACAATGTTTCCCTAATCCCTTTTCCAGGAAAAGAATTTTCCAAAGACTTTTGGGCAAATAATGTAGGTCTTAAATCTCCTGTGGCAGAAGAAGATTCCCCAACACTTCCAGCATATTGTGAGTTCTCTAGTGACTCATTTGCTAATGAGGAAATTTTCATTTGTTCCAGAGCAGATGATAAAGCTTCTAGATCATCTGAACTACTTGGAGCACATTCCAAAACAATTTGTGGTGATATCAAAGTTTTGAGTCCCTCCTTGGCAGATTGTAAAGGTTTCAAATTCCCTATTAAAGGTGCTAAGTGTTTTTGAGCCTCTTGGGTAGAC